CCCTGCTTGGCCCTGCTTGGCCCTGCTTGGTCCTCTGCTTGGACTCAGCCAACAGAGCGAAAGCGAAAACTCAAAAATTCCCCACACGAGACAGCCGCAGGAAAAGAAAGAAAGAGCTGGACGCGGATCTGCCACCTGACCTCGCACGGATGCCGCCGTGCTTCGGGAGAGGCCGACGGAGCGGGATGCCGATTCGGATGCGGGGGTCGAACCCGATGCCCATCGGGAGATGGAGACCGAGTGTGGGACGCGCGGGAGGCGGGCACGAGACGACGCGCGGAACAAAGGGCCGAGGGCGGATGGATGCATGGGCGCATGTGGATTTGCGTGACGCGCCCGTTTGACACTCGAGCGATGCACTACTGGAGCCTCGAGAGCATGCACGCTCGGCGCGTCGAGTCCTCTGCGTCTCTGCGCAGGGCACGAGCGCGCATTGGAAGTGGAATAGCCGCGCTTCCACCGGCACAACCTCTGTGTGCCGCTCCGGCCGTGTTCGGAGCCAGTCCCGTCTGCGAATGCTCGCATGCAAGTCAGAGCCAAAGCTCATCACTGATCGATCCTAGCCAGAGTCAAAAGGAAAGCGGGCCAAAAGCAGGACGACGACTGGGAAAGCGGATGGAAGGTGGGAATTTTCGAGCCAGGCTTCATTCCAAGCCCCGAGCGAGCGTGTTTTACCTCGAAAGCCCACGCAGCAACGCACGCACGCATGCACCCTCGCGGCTCGACCGAAGCTCGAGAGGGGAAGGGGGAAAGGTCGCGTTGCAACACGCGTCGGGCACGAGCAGCGCAACGCCCGAAAGAGGTGGCCCTCAAGGCGAGCTTTTGAAGAGTAGTGACGGGCCGCGCGTTGGCATTCGTCCTGGCAGGTGTGGATGCGGTGGGTGCGGGGCCAAACGAGGGAGCCCAACGGCGCAAATGCACAAGTGCACGACGGCACGAATGCACGCCGACAGGGACCCTTTTTCCCGACTGGCCCTGCATGCGTCGTGTCGTCGGTCTCTCGAAAGAGCGCACATCTCCCGTCCGTCTGTGGCAATGTGCCCTTTTACCCCCTCTTGCCTGGTTCGGTGGGGGAGGTGCTCGTCGTGTCTTCGGCAGATTCGCGTCTCGCATCTTGCCCCGGATGGACCCCTCCTGATCCATTCAAATAGCACCCCCCTCCCTCGTCCGCTTTCCTCTTTCGCTCCACCACCACCATTCCAACTTTTTACCCTCCTCATCCAACCCCAAATCAACTTTTACGACATGCCTCCCAAGAAGACCGGAGCTGCGGGTGCCAAGAAGGGCAAGACGTCGGCGTACAACAAGTACATGAAGGACCAGCTCGCCGTGCTCAAGACCGAGAAGCCCAGCCTGTCGCACAAGGAGCGCTTCAAGCTCGCCGCCACCTCCTGGGCCTCGTCCAAGGAGAACCCCAAGAACAAGGCCTAGATGACATCCACGCTGTCGTACGCCATTGGCCTCAAAGTCGTCCCACTTGGCAATCGGTCGTGTGTTCGATCGCTTGGCCGGTCATCCTTCGCCTGTTCCCAACGCTGCTTCTCCTTTCCCATCCAGTAAGTCTCTCCATCCTTTTGCCGTCGTGCAATATTTAAACGATCAAGTTTGGCAGACTTTGGACGAGCCGCCCTAGTCTCTTGCGAACGGGGCAACACTCTCGATTTGTAGCGTCCGTCGCAATCCCCCATCCCTCTCTCTTCCCTCGCCCTGTTGAGCCTGCCGCCGCCCCTTCACTTTGCGGAGCCTTGGCGGGCTAGGGTTAGCAGCTGCGGCTCGCCTCGCCCCGCCACGCGCATCCGCACGCGCACGCGCCTCCTTCCCAACTGGCCCTCCAGACGCGCTCGAGCTTCGGCTAAATTGCAGAATTCGACAGCCTCCCACAACCTGCCTTTTTTTTTCGGCCAATCCGCTGACCCTCTCCTCACCCCCTCTTTGCCCGTCACCTAGTGTAATTCTATGACCTCCCTCCCGCTCGATGCTGTGTTTTGCGTGCGTGATTGAGAAAAGATGATTGAAGTTTGAACCCCGTTACATGTGTTGAGAGAGCCATGAATGCACATGAATGCCAAAACTAGAGTGGAGAGAAGCTAGAAGGAGGCGCGGTGGATCAGGCGCCAATGCGGGCACGCGTGCTGGCCACGGCCGGGCGTGCGCCTGCTGCCGTCGCGCTCAGCGCTGGAGACGATGGTGCGTACTTGGTCCACGCCTTGCGCGTCGCCGACATGCTGCCCATCGCCGGTAGCACGGGCTCCGCGCTCGCGCTCAGCACGGGCGACTGCGTCGACGCCGCCAGATCGAGCGGCGGCAGCTGCCAGCGCGATCCCGATCCGCTGCGTGCCATCTCCGCCTCGTCCGTGCCAGTGCGCCGCGAGTCGGTGGAGTCGGTCTGCGACACTGTACGATCGCGGCTGCGGCCCTGCGTCGCCGAGTCGCGCGAGCTGCTGCCGCCCACCCTCGCCACCTCGCCCGCGCGCTGGAAAAACGAAAACGCCGACGGCGAGTACGACTCATCGGTGCTGCCACCAGACGCGGCGATGCTCGGCGAGCTCGGCGAGCTCGGTCCAGAGCGCGCCTCGATCGAGAGCTGCTTGGACCGCGCCATGTCCACCAGCTCCAGGTCCACGAACCGGTGCGTCGCCTCCGGATGCATCACCGCCGTCACTGGCAGCCTGGCGAGCGCGTCGCCCAGCTCGGGCATCTCGACAATGCGGCTCTCCTCTTCCGTGAGTGCTGCATTCGGATGGCCGCGCACAAAGCCGCCGTCGGTGATGTCAAACGTGCGGAAGCGGCCGTTGGTGCGGTTGATCACCGCGACGTTGCTGCAGCTCCGGCGCTCCAGCACCGCCTTGGCCACGAGCAGCCGCGCGTCGTGCTCGCGCCAGTGCACGCGTCCCACCCGCAGCGCACACGAGCGCACCGCTTCGAGCGAGCGCATGCGCAGAACATCCACGTGCGACATGGCCATGCTCGTCCGCGGCAAGTAGGTGCGGAAGGCATCCTGGTGTTTGCCTGCGCGGTGGCGCACGGGCAGCATGAGCGGCAAAAACGTCGTCTGCCGCAGCGTCACGCAGACGACATACGTCGTGCGAACCGCTCCCGTGCCCTGGCAATGCTTGCATCCCATACCACCCTCGCCGTCGTGGCCGTGACCCAGCCGCTGGCGGTGTGCACTGGTGCAGGTGGTGCAGCGCACGGCACACGTGGTGTCGCTGAGCTCGATAAACGAGCGCAGCTTCTTGCGCTCCACGATGGCGCGGCTGTCGATCTGGCAGTCCCACGGACTGAACACGAGCGGCGGCTCGTCGAGCACCTTTGCGCTCTGGGGCGCCGGGCCCTGCACCACCCAGGATCCGCGTCGATGCTCGGTGTAGACGGTCATCTTGAGCTCGGCGGTCTCGAAGCGGCTGAGCACGACCAGGTCAAAGTTGGCCTCGCGCTGTGCGAGTTCCTTGTCACGCCGGAGCATCTTGTCGTGCGACGAGGTGGAGCCGGTGACGGAGACGGAGCGGCTGCGCGCGCTCGACTCGGACGGCGGCGATGTCGTGCCGAGCATCGAGTCGTGG